ATTAGATTTAAATATATATAATTTTATTTGTATATAATAAAATTAATAAAAATAATTATAAAGAATGAAAATAAGGTTAACCCATAAGTTAATCTGTAAATCGTTAAGATCAAGTTAAGGTTGGACTTTTTCAAACCACAACCCGTTCATAAACCAATCCGTATAACTTGTCACTCGAGTTGACTCAACCCAAACTCGACTCAATCCAAACTCGACTCAACCCGTCCGTTTTTCAAGTCTACTTGTACTCTTTAAATAAAATTGTTTTCTTCGGCTTTTCAAAAAAAATAACAATAATAATCACACCTCAACTGATTTCTAGTAGTCAAGTGGGCATCTGATTGCCTCAGCAAATGCTGAGTGGTCGATAGCAGAGAAAACCACTGTTTTGTCGAATATATTCCAGTAGGATCGAATTCATTTAAAATTTTTTTAGTGCAGAATCTCTGCTTTCTAATTAGGCTCCACAAGCGTGAACAAACCTCGCAGTAAACTCCCAAGCTAGGACTCACCTGGATCTCGACTCTCAAGTTAGCCCTCCCCTGGTTTGGACCTCATCTCTTTAGTTTAGTTTTAAATTTAAGATTTTTAATTTAGAATGTTCATGTTTGAGAAACACATGAAACAAACTAGCATATGCGGGGCATGTCCGATTCTATTTGGTTGTGTCAAGCCAGGAAGATGTTGGCGTGATTATCTAATTAATAAAGTAGTAACCCACTACAAAGGAAAGAAAAGTGAGAAGACAGTTCTTTAATGATCATGATATTTAAATAAAAGATACTGTTATATATTCTAAAAAACATCTATCACAAGTAAAATAATTTAAAATCATAAATAAATTATATCTATTTCTACAAAAGATTATGTACAAAAACTACAACTAAAGAGATGATTGATAATTTAGTAAATTACAATTTGTTAACACATTCTATCTTGAATTGTTAACTCAAATCCTCTTATAAATTAAAAGAAAATTTATAATCAGTAAAGAGAAAGATGATGCAAACCAATTCGACTTGAATTGAATGCAGATAGCTAGCATTTAGTTATTGACTCCTTTCATTCATCTACCCAACTAAAAGTTGTTCATTTTTTCTTTTTCTTATCCTAATATGGGAAACCGGGTTGTTGAAAATTGAAACTAGGGTTCAACGGTGTCCCCAGGTACCTCATCTTCATGGTCATCATTATCATCCGAAACGGCAATGGCCCATTCAAAGGTAACATCGAGGAAATATAGCATGAAAACAAGGAGCAGGCAACAGAGAAACATGGGAATGGGACCAAAGATCCACAAAAAAAGAGGCAAAGAGAAGTAGAAAGCCCGCAGGCCCAATGACCAGAAATAGCTTCCCCTGTTCACCGTCGTCGCCACGTAATCTGCCCTCAGCTGGTGGTGGCGCTGGTGCGGCGATATCTTCTTGAACGGCACGTTGATGAGGATGCTGGCGTGGTTGTAGTACCGTATCGACTGCACGTTGAGCAGGAACGCCACCAGGAAGCATACCAGAATGGAGAAGAATTTGATGGAGAAGGCACGCTCGCTTCTGTCCCCGTAGTCAAACCAACCCAACCCCAACCTGTTGCCGTTTCCGTTGCCGTTGCCGCTCGACATCAGAACGGCGATCAAAGAGCTGAGCATGATCGCCGTCGACGCAAGCACCGTGGACGCCATTATATTGTTTCTCAGCGTTTGCACCGCCAAAACTCCATTCTTCGCCACATCCTGCAATTGATGAATCAAATCAAACCCCATTAAATCCCTTATTCAATTCTCAAACCCCTTTTCCGATCCCATAAATCTAATCAAAAAACAACGAAAAAACACAAATTGGGAAATGAAATTAACGAAAAGAAATACCTCCATCATTGAAAGAACCCAGTAGCGGCAATTCATGGCATTGATTCCTATAACAGTTTTGGTCGAATGATTTATGATTCGATAAAAAAGATAAACATGATATGCCACCATTATAAAAATCCCTAATGGAACCAACACAAAATCAAGATACCTTTTCTCCATTGATATAGAATATTATATAAATATGCAACTATATTCCTCTGTTTTCAGAAAATGAAACGAAGAGAGAATCAGGGGAAGAGGATGAAAGAGAAGGGAGTGAGGGAGAAAGAGTCCAAGTACGACACGGGTGTTATGGGAGTGAGTTAATGACATGAGAAAATCAGGGAGGAGATTTATAAAGCCCAGGTGGAAAGTGAGCGCACCAATTCGGCCAATTTCCTTCTGGAGGAAGCTGAAGGGACTCGGAAAGGGGTGTGGTGCTGGATTCCGGTTTATGACGTGGACCGCTCCCACCACCAAAAGGCCCAAAACCCCAGTTTTGGATTCTTGTGTTGTTTTCAAACCACAGTGTCATATTCACACGCTAAAGTGTTGGAGTATTAAATCTCTTTTTGGATTCTTGTGAAAAGGCGTTTTATGGTTGGTTAAATGTTAAATTTGGTCTCTCAACTTTAAGAAATAAATATTTTTGATCCCTCAATAATGTTTTGTACTTTTTTGATCCCTCAACTACAAGAAATGCACTCTGTTAGTCATTCTGTTAATTTGAGCCGTTAATTCCGCTTATGTGGCATTTTTTATATTTTTTTTGATGATGTGGAGAGCAAAGTGATGACATGGAGAGCAAAGTGATGACATGGACAAACATTTTGACATTTAATATTACCGTGTGCCAAATCATATTAACATGTGT